CAGGCAGGCATCTCTTTTACAAAACAGAGCTATGGCAGGGCACCTGGCTGGCTCAAAACAGAGCTAGGGCTCCAGTACCTCCTTGTGATTTCCTTTACTTTTTAACTGTTAAAAAGAAGACATGGGGACGTGTTCTAAGAAGACTTATTAGAAATCTGCAGTATTTAAGATTGTGATCCCGGCACACAGCAGATAAGCATAATAAAATACAGACGCAAGAAACTGATCTGCATTTACACATAAGTCTAATTTTTTTTTTTAATTTTTTTTTTCAACATTTATTTATTTTTGGGACAGGGAGAGACAGAGCATGAATGGGGGAGGGGCAGAGAGAGGGAGACACAGAATCCAAAACAGGCTCCAGGCTCTGAGCTATCAGCCCAGAGCCTGACGCGGGGCTCGAACTCACGGACCGCGAGATCGTGACCTGGCTGAAGTCGGACGCTTAACCGACTGCGCCACCCAGGCGCCCCTAACAGACTTTTTTTAATGAGTTCTATTTTTTTTAATGTTTTTATTATTTATTTTTGAGAGAGAGGGAGACAGAGGATCCGAAGCAGTCTCAGTGCCGACGACAGAAAGCCCAACGTGGGGCTGGAACTCACGAATTGTGAGATCATGATCTGGGCTGAAGTTGGACGCTTAACCGACTGAGCCACCCAGGCATCTCTGCATTAGCAGCCTTTAAGAATTTTCCGTTTGCTTCAAAGGCACCAACTCCTCATTTTTTTATCTTAGCTCTAAATACTTTAGGTGAGGGCCCCTTTGTACCTCTGTGTTTTTATTCTTACGTGGAGAGTGTAGATCTGCATGGATGTATATGAGTGCTTATATGTGAAGTATGAGATAGGAGTGTTACCTTGTTTTTTTTCCCCATATAGGTAAGCTTTATCGTACAGTTCTTTTCCTCACTTGCTTACATGTGTGAACGTATGTGTATCTATGTTTGTGTTTTTATGAATGTAAAATTAGACTTATGTTGGGGCGCCTGGGTGGCGCAGTCGGTTAAAGCGTCCGACTTCAGCCAGGTCACGATCTCGCGGTCCGTGAGTTCGAGCCCCGCGTCGGGCTCTGGGCTGACAGCTCAGAGCCTGGAGCCTGTTTTGGATTCTGTGTCTCCCTCTCTCTGCCCCTCCCCCGTTCATGCTCTGTCTCTCTCTGTCCCAAAAATAAATAAATGTCGAAAAAAAAAATTAAAAAAAAAAATTAGACTTATGTGTAAATGCAGATCAGTTTCTTGCGTCTGTATTTTATTATGCTTATCTGCTGTGTGCCGGGATCACAATCTTAAATACTGCAGATTTCTAATAAGTCTTCTTAGAACACGTCCCCATGTCTTCTTTTTAACAGTTAAAAAGTAAAGGAAATCACAAGGAGGTACTGGAGCCCTAGCTCTGTTTTGAGCCAGCCAGGTGCCCTGCCATAGCTCTGTTTTGTAAAAGAGATGCCTGCCTGCCCATGCTGTATGGGCGGAATGCCTGGCCTTCTGGCAAATCCTTGGTGGGCTTGGCCTGTCTGCTTTCATATAAGTGGGATAATAAGAGCTTATCAACCATTTGAAGCAACAGGATGGAAATAACTTTTACCATTTCCATTGCTCAGAATGTTAAAGTTCTTGTTATCTAGTAGGTAAGTTCTACCAGTTGACATTTTCCGTAGCCTCTCATTGAAGTATGTGTGTCATTGCCCTGTCAGCGTTAAGTGTTAGGTGAAGCCAAAAGGTATGAAAACTGGAGTCTTCATTGTTTTTGTGACTCTTTGGTCAACATGAGATGGAGCTTTTTTCATGTTTTCCAGTCATTTGTATGTCTTTAAATTTAATTTTTGGTGAATTAACTACTGTTCTTTGCTTGTTTGTCCTTAACCAATAGCCTCAGTCATTTGTTGAGTAATCCTTTCTTCTGTGTCTTTCTTTATTGTGTGTTGAATTCTTATATTACGATTCTTTCCAAATGATATTTTGACCATTTAAAAATGAATTTGCTTCCCTATTTAGCGTGTATACGATGAAGAAGTGGAGGAGCCGATACTCAAGGCTGAGACAGAAAAAGCAGAACAGGTACTTGCATTAGATCCCTCTTAGTTGAGTTCTTGACTTAGGGAAGAAAAGTGGTGGAAATTTGTAATGTGGCCGGTGGGGGATTGTGGGCAGAAGGATGGTTCCTGGGGCAAATGAGAAAGGCTGCTCCTGACACCCCAGGAATGGAACTGTGGTTTGTTTCTGAAATGTAGTGTATTAAGAAATATGTAAAGTTTTTGAAGTCTGGCATCAGAGCAGAGTGCAGGAGATTTTCTGTAAAAGGCCAGATAATGTTTTATGTTTGGCTGGCTACCTTGGTCTCTTGTCTCTTTCCCTTCTTTTTGCTCTTTTTCCTCCTTCTCCCTGCCTCTCCCTGCTCCACCCCCAAATGTGGGGGTTCTACACAATAGACCTTGAGGGTTCTACAACAATAGACCACAGACTGGGCTGTACGTTGTGAGTTCTTTGAAGACCATGCTTCCCTATTGTTTTATGACACCATTGACTCCTGCCAGTTGTAAATGACTGAGGTGAATGCTGGTTTAGTGCACAGCTTGCTGCAGGATGTGTTAGCCCAGAGAGCACAGAATGTGCAGTGAACATTTACTGACTCCAGAAAGATTGCAGGGAGCTGGTAACTTGAACACAGACTTGACCCTCAGGAAGTTATGGTCTTAGTTGGAGCAGTAGGACATAACATGTTGGAGCTGCTAACTGTTCTGGAAGATCAGATGAGAAGAGCTCAGTGGTATAAGCAAGGAGAACCTACAAGGATAAGGTGTTAGCTCAGTGAAGAAGGAAAGGCCAGTTTTTAAGGCCGAAATGGCCTTAAAAAAGAGAGAGAATGTCATGCACTAAGTTCAGAGTTGGGGGATGTGCCTGGTATTTTACAGACAATGATAGTGGAAGATACTGGTGGTCAGCAGGAGGAAGGAAAAGGAAGTGAGCGGTGGGTTCATAAACCAGGCTAAGGAGTCGAGGGGCAGCAGTTTCTATCTTTTTATCTCTGTGACCTTCACATGTTTTGGATACATAAACATTCTTCCTGGGTGTTGTCACATCATGGGCCAAAGCATAGATAAGACCTTCTGGACTTTCTAGCCTTCTGGCAGAAGTTGCATTCTTTTCCTCCCCCTTAGAAAAGCACTGGAATGTAAGTTCATAATCGGAGTAGCCTTGACTCAGCTCTAAGAGAAAATATAAATCACTTGGAAAAGTTGGTACTTCATCAATAGCTATTATGTATGTGAAGCTGTTAGGATAGGATATTAGAAACCAGCTACAGGGAATCTGCCTATTCCCAGGTTAAAAAAGAAAAAAAGTTACTTTGTTTTTAATGATTAACTCAAAAGATTTGCTGACCATTTAAAAGCAGTGGTTTGTGGTTACACCAAGTCAGGGTTCAGTTTGAAGTGATGAGTATTTAGTGAACTATTTTTAAAAAGCCCCTATGTAATTATTTCACAAACCTGTTTTCACACACTCAGTGCAGAATTAGCTATTTAACTAGAACCAAGCATACTACAGTGGAAAAAAGATGCAGCCAGAACAAAAAAGCTGGATTAGAAGGATTTCCATCCTTGAGGTAAAAGTACAAAAAACTCATAGAGTTTTCCCTTTGTCCCTTACAACAGCACCGTATGGTTTGATTCCTTCTGTAATTATGTATCAATTTCTAGAATATTTGTGAAGAGGGGAAATGACACTAAATTCTTTTTTCAATATTTCTCACAACTGATGACACAGTTGGGTGTGTGAGGGGACTGTCACTGACAGCTGCTGTTGTAGGAAACGGAGGCCTGTGGAGTGTTTTCAGCAGGTTGGTGATATGTACAGACTTTTGGTGGGGGCATTGTTCTCGGATGGTGTACAGGATAAGTTGGAAATGATACTGACCCTCTGTTGGTCTGAAACACATTTATAAATAGCCATAACTACTAGTTTTTTGGTTTTTTATTTTCACCAATTGAAAGATGACATCTCTGGCTGGAGTCCCTTTCTTCTAAGTTTTAACTTCTGAAATTGTCCCAAGGCCCATTAACCAAGGTTAGTGGGATCCAGTCATGGTGAACCTGAAAGTCTGGGCCCTTTGTTCCTCCAGTGGTAGGGGAGTCGGGTGCCACTGGAGGGCTTGTGACATCCCATTCACAGGGGATGTTTACATAGGTTACCTAACCGAACTGTCATACATAGTGTAGTAGTGCTTTTGTTGCTATAGATGGTGAACGGGGAGTTCTGGGACCTTCGGTAGTGTGATCCATGTCCAGAAAGTGACAAACTTGGGATTTAAAACTTATTCCAAAGTCTGTCAAGGCATTCAGCAGAGTCTGACTTGTTAACATTTGTAATTGATTTCTTTTTGTTTTATTAGGGCGGTATCAATAGTTTGAAGATCTGTACTGAACAGTATTTTTTTGTAGGAGAAGACCCGGGAACAGAAAGAAGTAGATCTGATTCCTAAGGTTCAGGAGGCTGTGAACTATGGTTTACAAGTATTGGACAGCGCATTTGAACAACTAGATATAAAAGCAGGAAACTCAGACTCAGAAGAAGATGATGCTAATGAACGGGTGGAACTGATCCTTGAACCAAAGGTAAGGACGTTCAGTTCATGTTACTTGTTATTACACTTGTTGTGTTTGGGGCACTTTACTTGGGTACAGAATTAGTAAGACATGGGCTTGACTTTTAGGAAGTAAGTATGGTACTTAGCAGTCTCACATTGATTCCTTTAGAAACACTTGCTTTACCGGATCGTTGATGGAGCACCCAGCAGGTACAAGGCAGCACGCCAGGGTAGGGGAGTACAGAGGTGCAGGGCATGGCTCCTACTCTCCAAACGCCTATTATAGCATTACCAGTTGGTGGGAGAGAGGAGACATCTACATGAGTCACCGTCATAAGTGCTCTGGGAGAGAACTGCTTCTAGCTGGGGAAATGAGGGTACAGATGAGACCCGAATTGGGTTTAGAAGTATGAGGAGATTGTTGGGAACGTGAACTTCTGTAGCTTGTGCTGGGGAGACGGCACAAGTGCTGAAAGACATTTGTGTTGTTTGCGGGTTTTGGCTAGGATGAATAAAGCCGCTGTGAGCGTCCACGAATAGACTGTTAGCCGTGAATATAGTTACTGCTTTCCTGTTACTTTACCTCAGATCTGCAGAGGAGACTTTGGGGCAGCACAGCCAGGCAGAGGTAAACATAGAAGGTTGCCATATTGATTTTGAGAGAGAGTCCTTGTGACACACAAGTGCTTTATGGATTGGAACATGCCCCAGAGCCAAGATCTTCTGTCGTTCGTTTCGCCTCACACTTCTCTTCCAGTTTGAGCCTGCGGTGTTGTACCGTGTTGGGGCTGTTCCTCTTGCACTGGTATACTTGCTGGCTTGCCTTTTCCTGTAGGGATTTAGCAGTCAGCAGTGGACCCTGGGTGGTGTATTGCCTGGGCCACGCTTGCTAGTTCCAGCTTGTACACCCCTTTCTCTTCTACTGGAGGACTTGGGAATGCCTCCTGAGTAAGTGGTTCGCCCAGTAGCACTTTCTTTTGTTTGCACTGAATTGGTTGCTGTTGCATCTTTAACTTTTACATTAACCTTCCCAAATTCTCTCTTGTGTTAAACTTCAGAATTGTTTTCTCCTGCACCCCCAGGGTCTTTTCAGTAGGGAAGAGAGATGATGGCCAAATGTCCTACCTTACAAAGGATAAGTCAGCCTTTCCTGTCGAGAGGGGAGGTTGTCCTGGGGTAGAGTGCTTGCTTGCTTGCTTGCTTTCTTACTTGCTTTTTTTTTTTTATGTTTATTTATTTTTGAGAGAGAGACAGAGGGAGAGAGACAGAGATCGAGTTAGGGGAGGGGCAGAGAGAGAGGGAGACACAGAATCTGAAGCA